TTCGTTTTGTAATAATGTAACGGTTTCCCCCAGAGAATGCTGCAATGCGATGAGACATTCGAATGAAATGGAAATGCAATTTTTCGATTGCACGATCATTTGATTTTTATCCACAAGAAGTTGTTTCTGGCAGCGGATTGCAGCTAAAGGAAATTAATGAATAAAAACGCATGAAAAACAATGGATGGACGTGATGCGAATATTAAAAAAGAGGAGAGTCCAGAAATTCTGCACGGAGTTGGAGTTGGGTGGAGGCGGCGGCGACGCGTCGGACATGCTTTGTAAATTCCCGGACGTCGCGACGCCCACGGCACGTCGATTACAAGCCGTGCTCGTTTTTCGCAATTATTGAAGCCACACGGTGCGATGGGATAATGGATGAATATAATATGTATACGAATATTTGCATGACAATGAGCAAAAAGGGGGAAAAAAATAAATGAAAATGCTAACGTAATGTAGTTGTTAATAAAACAAGTCGCATGCAAATTTCACCAAAAACTGGTAGCTGTAATCTTTGGATCTAGACATTCATTATCATGTTAATGCCATACTCTATTTTCTCCGCCACCAACATTATTCTCTTCGCATTAGTTCCTCGCAGCACCTAATATTGTTCGAAGGTTGATAATGGAGGATTTCGATTTAATCATCCTCTGCAAACATTATAATTGCTGCTCTGTTCTGCACCATATTTCATATTTCCCATATTCTAGTTTGAGCCCTCAGATATTTTAATTATATTTCATATCCTTTTGAACCAGTCTTCCATTAACGACATTACAAGCTTCGTATAATGCATTTTCCTTGTAGTTTTCATTAATAAAATACTAAACAAAATTACCAGTATTCACAAAGGATAAAGTAATAAAGCTTCAGATATTTTCTTTATAAAATTATTTACTATTTAATTAAAATAATAAAAAATAACCATTAATGAGTACATCAATTATATTTCAATGTTATTATAAACATTAGTTAAAATTTATACCAAAGCTAACGAGACCCTCTTTAATCAAATCTAACCTTACCTAAATTAACTTATCATATCCTGAAATGTAACCTGATACAACCTAAACTAATTGACTGACTTCATCCCCGTTAATTTCAATTAACCTCTCTGAAATAATACAACTAAATTCAGGAGTATCCTGGAATTTCAAATAGAAATAACGTAATTCCAATGTTTCGAACGAAACTGTAAAACTGTGTTCACATTTTTTTTTTATATTGCCATCGGAATTGATGTAAACTGGATAAGTTGGAGTTGCTATCTAGTGGAAACGAAATGGAAAGGAAATGTAATAAATGGAGGCTGAAACCGAAGGAAAATAAAAAAGAAAGCGAAGCGCAGCGAAAGAAGCGACTCCTGGCAGGGATGAAGAACGGAAAGCGGTGGGGAAAAAAGATGAAAGATGGAAGGAGGAATGCTCTACGAAAAGAGATAAAAAAAAAGAAAGTGGGGCGAGGTGAGAAAAGAAACTTTTTGAATCGGATGACCGAATTACTACAAATTAGGGTTCATTGCAGTTTAAATTTTCTTCTTTGGAAATCCTTTGAAATAAATTCATTTACTTTATTTTATAACCAATAATGAATTCCAGTTTGTTAATAAAGTTAATAAATAGACTGTTTTTCGATTGCATTTAAACATTTAAGAAGAAACATTTTAAATCATTTGATAAAGTTATTGCAAATTACAGAAGTAATTCCGGTTTTTGTCATTTGAAAAATGATTATTAGTTTAGTGTCAATTTTAACAAAAGTTGATGAAGAATGAAACAAAGTCGTAAATGATCTGTAACTGTGCTAGAGATTACAGAGGTCAAAAGTATTACACACAACAACTCAAAATCACTTGAATCTACTGGACTGAATTACTTCATAAAAGTTCATACTATCAATTTGATGGTGTAATCCTAATTTTTGTGTATTTTAAGCTGCAGTTTAAGGAACTAAAGATGAAAATTGAGATGTTTATCAATCAAAGAAAAATGACCAGTATTGGCAAATTATCTTCCACCGAAAATAAGCAATATTGGAACTTAGTTAGGGAAGTTGTAACATCAGATTACCATTTATTTTGAAGTTTTCAAAACCCTTTAAATTCTTGACTAATTGACCTGAAATCGCACTTAGTTCAGTTTTTATGATGAAGATCATCGGATAAAATGGATAATTTATATTTGATTGAAGTTCATACCCTATATGCATAAAAAGAGTTTTATTTCACACTGAAAAAAAACTGAATCAATATTTGATGCATTCAATAATAAACATAAACAGTGTTATATAATAGACATTCTTGGGAGTACCAAAATATGATGATCTGAAAATTGCTACATCAAAGACATTTTTTTTGTCCTGAATTGCTAAATGCTCTTTGAATAAATTACCATCATCAGAAGGATCTTATTATCCACTTCATTCTTTCGTCTTGCGTCTGGTTAAACGCAAATCCTTCGATCCTAGGTGCTGCGACGAAGAGATTCATAGTGGAAAGTCCATCAACGTAATTGCACGTTCGTATTTTCTTTTAAACCAATTTATCGGAGACATTTTTCAAACTTGAACGTCGCATAAATCTCAGCCCGTTTTAAATTGACTTTGCAAAGTGTATTATTTTATACTGGGTTTAATTATTTCGCACAGAAAACCATTTAACCTGTGAATCAATTAAAAAATAAAACAAATTCTTTCAATTTACTTAACCATTTTATAAAATGCGTTATTTGATTGTGGACTTAAGGAAACTAAATGAAACGTACAATATATGTATCAATTTATTTTTTATGTGAGATTCAAGTAATCAAATAGAAAATTTATTACGAACTTTAAGATTTTTTTTTCGTTGTTTTTGTCTTTTATAGATAGACATAACTAGATATACGTGATCCGATTTGAAGTTGTGATTTGTGATGCAACTGACAGCGGATGGGCGAAAAATGCGTTATCTTCTAAAGTGTAAAGCCTGTGCTGCCCGTTTGTAACTGGAATTTATCGGGTAATAAATCCTAATTCGGATTACACGTTTCAGCGAAAGAGAAAAAAATATAAATTTTTTGTTTGGTTTCATTGCTTTCGTTCTGTTTGCGACAGGCTGTAGGATTATGTACGCCTATCAAATGTTACGGAATTTATGAATGCATAAAAATCGATACAAGATGAAAAGCTAAATATAATTAGGTAATGTTAACTTTAACTCTTTGAGGGTCGGTGGTACACGCATTGAACCTACTGGGGCATTATTTTAATTTTATAGCAAATGTCCAGGAACGAAGAAAAACCCTTTAATTTGGTTGCTAAGTCAAGGGAAGAATTTTGTAATTCAATCTTTAATTCAGTTGACGAAGTTCTCTTGTCGTGTCCCAGGGATGGTTTTCTGGACCCTGTTGTCCACTTTTTTGTTGTCGTCGTGGAGTCTCAGTTGTTGGGAATTTAATGAAATTCGTTTGGTTTTACATAACTTTATTTGTTACTTTCCTCAATGGTACACAAACTTAATGGTTAGAGACAGCACTTTAATACTAGAAATTTTTGGCCCTTCAAAGGGTTAAATTTGTTTTTTTTTAGATACAGTTCTGATCTGTGATTCAATTTTTTTTTAGTTATTAAATTCGAATCAGAATTAGATAATTATTTCATTATATAACTACAATAAGTCTACGAAAATTACCGATATTTTATTTTACCGGTAAATCGATTAACCGGTTTTTTTATATTAAAAATTTCGTATTACATAATGCACATTGTATGGCATTGATACGTAACAAACTGTAAGCTTACTGCTGAAACGTGTGCGGTTTAATCCCATTTTCACCATTATGTTAATTATTTCAGCATGCGTATTATGTAACTATGGATTGAGTAAAGGTATGGGTTTCAATAAATCCCAATTAGCGGTAATTGCATTGTCATTTCGATGCGTTTCGTAAATTATGTCATAAATTATGAAAGATAGTTTCTATAGAAAACAACAACAAAAATTGTAAAATTTTCGTTGTTAAAATTTTGCTTGAATTCTAAATATTAATTAAATCAAATTGTTAAATTGTTTTATATTTAATTAAGACAAAGCATTGGCATTAATTAATATTGAAATTAATTGATTCAATGTTTAATTTAATTATTAATTTATTAAAAGGTGTCCCAATATGCACCGACATTTGAAATTTGCCGCCATTTGTTTCGCAGTAAAAGCAGATTAGAGATTTGTATATGTTGTCATTAGTAAACATTGAGGATAAGTTATGGAATAATACAAGATCCAAGAACGCGTAGAATAATCTTGTTATATAATGTTTGAGAAACACTGCTTTACAGAATCTACAATTATTTTGTTTAAGTACTAGGTCAAATTCATTTCCACGAAAAGAATAAAAATAAATATTTCCCAGATAAACAAATATTTTGTTTTCCATTGCTAACGGTGTGCAGATGACGTAATAATAAAAAAAAATATATGCACGTTTCGTAACATAATAAAAACATTCTGCTTTTGTTTTTATTACGCCCGGAAGCTTTTAGAGATGTGACGTGTTTACAATTTCAACGAAAATTAATGTTTTCGAAATGCGTTGCGGTAATATCAAATAATAAATATTATATCAATAATAAAAGAATGGAAAACATAACGTTTAAATATTTATAATTAAATTTCCGCACGGAAATCCGGTAACAATGCATAATTCAAATTTTATTATTAAAAATATTGCGTATTTTTTCGCTTGCAAAAGCGATTTTTTTTGTTAGAGAAATTCATCTCGCGCGGAACAGTAGGGGACACTTTAATGTATATTCCGCTCACATCATTTTCCGCTTAGGATTTTATTAGCTCGAAGCTTAATGTGTGTGTGCGTATATATATGTTTTCGGTGGGGTTTTTATTATGTTATGCGAGATGTATCAGATTAGGGAAACGTCGTGGGTTATTGCATTCGTCCATCCCTAATGACGTAACTCTATTCCAAATGCATGTTCTATTTTCTTGTCTATTTTACCTGATATCCAGGAGCCGTTGAAGCGGGCCGGAGGCGGCAGTTTTATGAAAATGTCCTCCAGACTGGGTTTTCGACCTTTCACCCTCGGCCCTTCCTCGGGCGGCGAAACTAGCACGATGCTGAAGACAATGAGACCGAGAACGGCGATGATCACCAGGAGGGCTATGAATATTCCGCGCCAGTTCCTCTCGTTCGGTGAACTGACAGCCAACTCCTGCAACAGACACAGAATACAGGATTAAATTAAAACCGCAGCTCTGTAGGAACAAGCAGAAAAACAAACAAAAATAAATAGAAGAATAGAACATTTCACAGTTCTGATCTGTAATTCAATTTTATTTTTAGTTATTAAATTCGAATCAGAATTACATAATAATTTCATTATATTATTACAATAAATCTACGAAAAATTTCGTATTACATAATGCACATTGTATGTGTGTCAGGCATTGATACGAAACAAACTGTAAGCTTACTGCTGAAACGTGTGCGGTTTAATCCCGTTTTCACCATTATGTTAAATATTTCAGCATGCGTATTATGTAACTTATGGATTGAGTAAAGGTGTGGGTTTCAATAAATCCTAATTAGCGGTGATTACATTGTCATTTCGATGCGTTTCGTAAATTATGTTATAAATAAATTATAAAAGATAGTTTCTATAGAAAACAACAAAAAAAAAAATAGTAAAATTGTAGAATTTTCATTGTTAAAATTGAATACAATATTAAATTAAAACCGCAGCTTTGTTTAATTCGTAGAAACAAGCAGAAAAACAAACAAAAATAAATAGAAGAATAGAACATTTCACAGTTCTGTATTTCAATTTTATTTTTAGTTATTAAATTCGAATCAGAATTAGATAATAATTACATTATATTACTACAATAAGTCTACGAATAATTACCAATATTTTAAAATGTAAGTTAAAATCGATTAACCGGTTTTTTTAAATTAAAATTTTCGTATTATATAATGCGCATTGGATGTGTGTCAGGCATTATTGATACGAAACAAACTGTAAGCTTACTGCTGAAACGTGTGCGGTTTAATCCCGTTTTCACCATTATGTTAAATATTTCAGCATGCGGATTATGTAACTTATAGATTGAGTAAAGGTGTGGGTTTCAATAAATCCTAATTAGCGGTGATTACATTGTTATTTTGATGCGTTTCGTAAATTATGTTAGAAATAAATTATAAAAGATAGTTTCTATAGAAAACAACAAAAAAAAATAGTAAAATTGTAGAATTTTCATTGTTAAAATTGAATACTATATTAAATTAAAACCGCAGCTTTGTTTAATTTGTAGAAACAAGCAGAAAAACAAACAAAATGAAATAGAAGAATAGAACATTTTCCTACTTATAATCATAACCGAAATGCGATATAATATTTCGTTGTACATCACCAAATATTTATCAATCATAATTGACTCGCCCGTTGATTGATTGGTCCAAAATGGAAATATCCCTCTGCAGGATTTATGACGCTATTCCCTTAACAACTGCATTAGCATAAACCCGACTCGAGGCTAGACTGGTTTACGGAATGGAATACAGTTCAGTTCCAAACATTTTTTTTTTTATAATTTTGTTTCTTTCAATTGAAGCTACTTTTGGTTCCAACAAAGAGTTCACTAATTAAGTTAAGGCCAAAGTAAATACGCTGTTGATAATTGGATCAAAGGCGAACTCTCTTTCTCTCTTACAGAGATTGCGATATTTCACTTAGAGTCGGCAAATCAATGCACTTATTTGAAGTTTTTCTTCAAAGGTAAAAATTCAATTTAACTCTTGCAACGAAAGCAAAGCCACTTTATATAAAATAATACCATTTCTAATTTACTCATTCATTTTACTTTTATATACAAATAATATAATATGTAGAATACAATTGCAAATTCAAGGCAAAGAAAATGTTAAATAAATAAATAAAAACGTATTTTTGCTTATTTTTTTTTACAATTTATATTATTTAAGGCATAAATAATTCACAACACTGAGGACAAAAGAGCGCGCAGTAAAAAAATCGCGCAGGATAAATATAACAAAAGCGCGCATGGCAAATGTAATAAAAGAGCGCAGTAAAACATCCACGCAATTAATTCACTGTAATGTCTTAGGTTGGCATTAGGTAGGTAATCTTTCCCTGTGGATAGTTACCATTATGATGATGATTTTAATTTTAATTTGTAGGTTGGCTGTCGTCTTGTAGGTTAACTTCATCACCGAGAGGGCTCACAAAGGGCCTGGCTTGACCAGGATTTGAACCTGTGCCCACTAGATCGTGGGTAGGTTCGGCTATAGTCACCCTCTCATGCATTTGACGTGGTTGTTATATTATTTGTGTATTACAAAAATAATTTTATTTTTATTTTGTCCATCAAAAAATAGTTTATTTTTTTAATTTTCAAACCGGAATAGTGATTACGAACTGATCGAAGCCGTACTATGCGAGGTATTATTGCATTTGTTATAAATATATATTTTAGAAAATCTTTTAGAAAAAAAAAACAACATTTACAATTTTTTTTAATATATCATACATGAATTAATCAATCAAGGTTTTTCTTACTTCCTGTAGAAATAAACAATTAATGATACATGATTCGATTAAAAAATGGATAAAAAGAAAAACANNNNAAAAAATGGAACAAAGTTTTGGCCAGGTTAATTCGACTGTCGCTCGTAAATTACAAAGTTCCTGCCCGGAGCCACCCCTCAGGAAGATGCATGATAAAATGTGGCATCGTAAACCCAGATCCGTTCATACTTTATGCAACGTTCTTGTAAATTTCACATTCACAAAACAAAACTAATGATGAAAAACATGTGTATTCAAATATAAAATCAATGCTCAAGCTTGGATGTTTTGTTTATTTTATGTAATTTTTCTTGAAATGTATTATTGATTCGCGCTTGAATACAGTTTTTAGAAGCGCAACGTAGGAATTCACAGGTAATTTTCAATTATTTTACCAACTATTACAGTAGTCCAATTAGTAAGATTAAGCTTAATTTAGAAGTTCCACCATATTCACCTGATAGTACGTCTTTAAATCGTTACTTTCTTAAGTCGATAGAGCATTTACTTCGTAAAAAATACAAATTTTGAACAAATTTTAAATCACTTGGAGTCATATATTAATGAAAAACTACCTGAATTTTGTCTCATTTTTTCTAAGTTATCAATAAGTTATTATACAATAAATTGTTTTTTTTTTCAAGCTAAACGTAATATAAGCTTCTAAATATAGACATTCTCAGATATTTAATTACCTTTCCATTTTTTTTTTCTTGAAAACCTCAATATCATTACAAATTTGTACCATGCACACCGCACCATCTATTAAACTCCCAGGATATCAATATTGACTTGCAGTTTAGGTAATTAACATTCAAATTGACCGAGGTGTCGAGTTTGTATGTTTGACATACTTCTCAGTAATTGCACTATATTTTACTGTACGCTATTCGTGCACTATTAAATTACAAACCATTGATGAGGCTGCACCCTTACTCGCAGTTCGTAACTAACATATTTATTACAGCGTATACACTTTCTGCAAATAGCACACTATATTTTCCATTGTAAAATGTAACAACGAAATATGTATACTATAATCAATGTAATTATCTGACTACGTTAGTTTTTTGTTTATTACACAACACACATGTTTTATGCAGCGTAATCCATTAGATTTGGCGATCCCTAAAACCAGACTCACGAATTAATAACTACCAGATAATAGACATTGTATTATATGAAGTCCCATTAACTAAACCACTAATACAAATAGGGGCGACTAATAGACAAATGGTTAAGTCGCCCTACACACGATTCCGAGGGTTCGAATCCTGGTCAAGGCAGGAACCCTTTCGGTGCTTGCAGCAATAAGGCCATCGTTCATCATGAATGGACAATCAAATAAAAGAGGTTCTAAATATGGACCTTCAGCCAAGTCGATGGACAATGACAGATACACAGCAGTGTTAAGGAATTAGTGGAATCGCAGAGCATCATGATGACAAAGCAATATGATGACAAAGACTTTCATTGGGAAGTTTACCAAGAAACAAATGTCTACCGGCATTAGATTTTATTAATATTCGCTGGAATCAGATTGTAATTTAAATTTACAATGACATAATAAAAAATTTCATACAAATTATTGTATTATAACTTTCATTAAACAACAGTAATCATAATTACAATTTATACGAAAATTAAAGATTTATTCACATTTTTATTTATTTATCAATTAATACTTTTTAGTTGATTTAATATATTAAAATTTAATAATTAAAAATAAAAAAAATGATTATTTTTCAAAAATACTGAAAAAATATGATGGCAGACTTTCATTGGGAAGTTTACCAAGAAACAAATGTCTACCGGTATTAGATTTATTAATATTCGCTGGAATCAGATTGTAATTTAAATTTACCATGACATAATAAAAAATCATACAAATTATTGTATTATAACTTTCATTAAACAACAGTAATCATAATTACAATTTATACGAAAATTAAAGATTTATTCACATTTTTATTTATTTATCAATTAAAACTTTTTAGTTGATTTAATATATTAAAATTTAATAATTAAAAATCAAAAAAATGATTTTTTTGTTTTGTTTTAAAATCAAAGTTTTTGATAAGTTTCAATGTCAAACTTAATAAATATCGAATGATTTTACTTGGTAGATTAGTTAATAGTAGAAGGCATTAATCATTGATATAGTTTGCGATGAAATTACGATATGCTTCGCAAAACCGCAAGACGGGTTTACTCAGTCCAAAGGATTAGTGGATTAAATTATAGATACACGGTACATTATCAGAACTAATCCCAAATATAATTTCGAGGATGATTGATATTTGCAAACAGTTAAGCTTAGTTATATTTAGCAAAGGAAAATGCAATTAAGGGAATAGATAATGAAATGATTTATTAAATAATTAAATAATATATTTTAAACAAATATATTTGCATTCAAATTATTTTTTTTTATCGATATTAAAGTATAAAGACGTTTAGTGTGTAAACTTCTTATTTTTTTAAACTTTTAAATTGACAATTAAATATACACTGAAAAGTGAATGTTTACAACTTAAATTCTATACAAAGAGATATTTAAGTATATTTAGCGACACTAATCAAGTGAATTTTTAATATATATAAAAAACGAGAAAACCGTCATTTCT